CAATCGGCATAATTAACTGACATACATTAAAACAGATACTACATATCATTACCAAGTTATATCAACCACAAAGTTATTGGCAAATGGGGAAAAAAAACTGATGAAAAATTCCACCTTTAATTAATGAATAGTTACAAAACAAACATGAGGAAAGACACCCAGAACTGGTTGCTAATTCCTTGTGAATCCCAAAAAGATGAGAATAAAACCTCAGACTGGGACAGACCACCTCCACAAGAGCACCTGGAGTAAAATGAATATACATTCTGATCCAGAAGATCAAAATGAATCAATTTCCAGTCTATGGTGTCTGAGAGGCAAGGGCATTCCCATACCCCACTGTGCTCATAATTTGTTTTTTGTTGCAAACACCCCATTACATTAAAATCATAAATATATCATGGACACTTTTGTTAGGAATATGACAGTAGTTGGTGAAATAGCAAACTGTACTGCAAATATTTTCTAACATTACTGATGTTGTTTATGTAAAATTTAAAAGTAATATCAACTGAAGGAAAAGAACAACTATTTTGTTTTAGATTATGCATTTGATTAAATTGAAAAATTCTTCATTCAGCATTCATTAACTTCTCCCAACAGTTAAAATGGCATTAGGTTAATACAACAGTATTAATAAAATTTCCGTATTTTAATGGAAATACTAATGCAAGCAATAACTCTCACAAACAAATTGCCAGGAGAGAGTTTCATAGCTCTCTAGCTCTCATAGATTTTACAAAAAAAAAATTAGTTTCGAGATAGAAGAAAGGAAAGAAAAACACAAGAGTTGTAAAATCCTTAAAAATGTAGACTTCCTCCTAAAACCTCAAATCATATGCCTATCTAATCTACCCTCACCACCTTCATGACTCTGTTAGCCAATTATACTCCCTTGAAGGACTTGCTTCAATACATGGGGCTGGGGGATATATCTGGAAAACATCTTGGAAAATACTCAAAGTATTACACAGCACAGTTCAACAACATGAAGTGCAAAAATGAGATGAAAATGTAGTAGCAAATGAGCATAAAGAAAGTCTAGAATCCCTACCAAGGTAAGTTGCATAGCAATACAAGGATAAAGTTTGTTTGTTGTAAAGCACAAAGCTCTGCCCATCCAACCTTTAGCATTATAAGCCGTATGATTTACTGCTGAGCAACCAAGTGCACAAGGATACAGATGTGCTCAAAATTCAATAAATGATAAAAAGAAGCATTCATCGCAATTTTCAACAAATCAGGAACATTACAAAAAATGTACCAGGCATGAATTTCCTAGACTAAGAAGTTAAAACAATTGCCTATATCTTTGACTGGCATTTGAAAGACAGGTGAAATCCATAAACTAGGGCACACTCCACAGAAGGTCTCAGAAATGAGCTGCTGTGCTGGTGATGACAACCCAAGGATGAAAACAGTAAAAACACAGATGAAAAAATATGATGTCAGACAGGAATGACAAATCTGGGGTAACCCTCCTAATTCTGGATTAAAATTAATATAATTGTTGAGAAGAAAGATATTTATCCAAATTATATGCTGGTCTAAGAAGATGCAAAAGAAAAAGATCCTGAGAGTTGGAAGATTAAAAAAAAAAAATCATTGGAACTCCCTCAGTTAATGTAGAAGAAAGTTCATCTCAAAAACGGAAAATCTCGTGATGGATGAAAATTAAGGCAAATAGGTGCTAAATATAAAGTCACTGGTTCACACTCCTGTTCATTTCAAACAGAAAACATAAGTTACCTGAGGAAAGTCTTGCAATAGATCCACCTTAGTACTGTGATGGTCCAACTCAAAGCAACAGATCCCTCCTCAGACAAAACATATCCAACTGAGAAAATAGACTAGTTCCAAGAAAAATTATAAAAAGGTAAACAGGCTGCATTGCTGGACTTCCAAAACTGAAAGGCCAGAAAGACATGACAACTTGCTCATTTCAAAAGGATGGGTCAACTTCTGATGAGATCTTTGTTTGCTCTTATTGGATGAAACACAGAATCCAATTAAGTATATGAAAGAGAAATTATATAATAAAACAATTAAAAATTTGAAACAAGTTAGAACTACCAGAAGAAATACACTTACAAAACAAAGAAAGATAAAAAAACAAAAAACATCACACTATCAAGATAAACTTGAAGCAACAAGAATGAAATGCATAATGTGCCAAGAGAAAATATGACCATATAAAGTTCTGTAAATTCAAGATAGATTGTAGATGTCAAGTAGTAGTAGTAGTAGTAAGAACCAAAGAAGATGACTGTCCCACAGATTCTGAAAATAGGGGTGTGAGACAAGATTATACATTCTTACTCATGATTTCTTTTTAGATTTGCACAAGATTACAGATTGTAAATGGAACACAGTACTTGTGGGAGAAGAAGTGTATGAAAACAACAAAAAAAAATTAACTCTTCGCACAAACAAGAGGATTAGTTCAAACTACTTTTGATAAAGTATAATTTTTCAAAAATATATTTTTTCATCAGCATAATTAACTTTTCTCGTAAATTTGCATTAAACACTTCCCTTTTAATATTATTAGACAAGCATGCTATCCAAATCAACAAGTTATGATTTCATATCAGAAAACCAAGTCACACTAACTTTTTAGTGTCTGCTCTTTTGAGATAAAAAAAAATATTTGCCTAGTTAACCTGTATGTACTGACTCAAAGGTTTAGCCAAAATAAAAATTGTAATGCCATTCTTCTTATTCTATACACAAGCTAATGTTTTGTGAATGATGAACACAAACAAGAAATATTGCTTTATATGTATATTAAAAATGGAAAAAAAAGAGGCTTACTCTGCTTTTTGTATTCAATACAGATTTAATATATTTTTAAATGTGTTTAGGAAATTCACTTAAAGCAATGAAATAACTTGCAAAAGATGAAAAATATTTGGTCCACTTTGTTTTAACTTGTCCAGTTCAGAACTTAACATTCATTTAAATACCATTCAATACTGAGACAAGTAAGTAAATATACAGAAAATTACATCAGTGAAAAAGCACAAAGTAAAAGTTCCCATATCTGGCAGTCAATGAATTTCAAGTAAGATTAACTATATGGTAATGAAATTTTACAAAACAGACAGTGCAGTTTAGAATATATGATAAACCTTATACTTATGTTTTTTTAAAAAAACATAACCAAATAGCTTAAGAGAAAAATGAACTTTTATATAACAATATTTTCTCACCCTTTATTCATTTCATACAGGTATGAGCAATTTCAAACTAACAACATTTCTCTCATTCTGACAATCATACCTTTTTTTTGAAGGGGTATAAGATCACTCAAACAGGTGATAATTTAACAACATTAACAATGATAATTTTTTACTGCACTACAAGTATTCTGTGGTACAGAAACTCACTGATATTATGTACATACAAGTTCACAAGCTGGGGTATAAGTCTAAAGAGTTTATAACATTTACTCTTTAGTATTGTAAGGCCAAAGTAACTCAACATTTTCTATTCACACTGGAAAAACTTAAACCAAAACTTAAGTTAAAGAAAAAAACCCATAAACCTCTTTCATTGTAAAAAATACAAGAAATAGACATAAACAATCTTATTATCGTTTAGTGACATTGGTGTAAGTACATAAGCTAAATGTGATTTACGATTGAAAAGGCAGTTGTTTCATTGTAATCTGTAAGTCTGTTTATTTGAAATTGGTATTCTTATGCAAACTTAAGACTCTACTGATGTCTTCCTAGTGATGCTGTGCCTACTGGTAACAATGTCATAATTGTGATGTATGTGAAATCTTATGTATGTGTTGTTTTAGTTTTCAATGACTATTTTCATAATCAGTATCAATATTAAAGAGGAAACAGCTACAGAATTATTTACTCCATGAGTTATTTCACTACCACTATTTTATAAATGTATATTAATACAATAAGACATTTGTTCACTTCATACAGTACTTTAGAAAGATTTCTAATCAAAAAGCCTTACCACTTTTATTCACACTTAATAACCAGGATAATATAAAAGTTTTAGTCTTAACTTGTGTATTAACTGCTTGTACTGAAATTCTCAGTTTTTCATGTGAACATCCAGAAATCACACAAAACATTGAACATTTGGAAATAACATGCAATTCTGTGAATCCAGAATCACACTATTTTCAGAAGTAGTTTAACTAGTGTGTAAATAATGGCAATGCCCAGTAGTGTTTAAAGAAAACGTTCATTGTGTGGACTTGAAAACATATTGTTGAACATTTGCTGATTTGTTCTTTATCCCAAACATACACATCAGAAAACTTATTACAAATAACTTGTTTAGAGAATTATTAGAGTAATATGTAAATGAGATTATAACACACTTTCTTCTGACTGATGGATGAACTGCCATGGTTATTCAGGCATGTGTTCAATAACTGAACCATGTGTACAATTGTTCATAAATTATCAATCATAAAATGCTGCACACCTTTGATGTATATAGTGCCCATTCATTGCAACTGTGAATAATCAAATGCACCCTAGCAAAATACAATAAAATGATCATACTGGCATAGTGTTAAACCTGTACATTTTAAAAATCTTTCACCCCAGAGACAAACTGGGTGAAAATTAGTTGAGCCAGAAAGGAAAACTTTCACTTGTCACAAGCAACTGCAGTTTATATCTTGATAACTACCATCTAACAAAAATAAACTGATTAGTCTTGTGTGTCATAAATTGGTTAAATCCTTTAGCAGTTTTATGATAACTGAAATATTAAAATTAGCTTACACAGATTTAGCTTCATAAACTACAGGAAAATTAGGTTGGGAATCAATATTAGTATATTTTTTGGTTGAAGAAAACAAATCTTGAAAATTACCTTGATGCATGGCATGTGCAGGTCTTGGCTTGTGGTGAACACAGTTGTTATACAAATGTAAAAATCATACAAAAAAATTGTAACTGTAAAAATAATTTACTACAAAATTTCTAAGAAAATACAAACACTGAAAAAAAACTTACCGGCTACTAGCACACGACCCCGTTGTCTTGGTTCTTGTGGCCTTTTCTTGATTGATCTTTGCTGCCTTCCCAGTTGCTCTACTGCCTTTAGTAGGAGTTTTACCGTCAACAGTACCTGACTGGAGTTCTGAAGTTTTTCTACCTGGCTGCCGATTTTTTCCCTTCCCTTTGTTTTGGTTTGAGCCAGAAGGACCTGGCTGATGACAAGACAAATCTACTGGAACAAGATTAAGAGGCAGAGTTTGCAGATTTTCAGTTCTCAGCTGAGGTTCCTTCTTTATAGCAAAAGGACTTGACAACTGATTATGGCTGCCTCCACAATGTTTTGCTAAGTCTTCAACTTCAACTTGAAAATAAGAAGCCTCATCCAAAGATGAATTTGACTCTTTTTTTAGGCGTCGCCTATTGGTGCTTTGATTTCTTGGATGTGGAGAACTTTCAAAAGATTTGGTGTGTGATATAAACCCGTCTAAAGGAAAAACAACAACAACCATATTAACATTTCTTAATGTCATTTAATAATCTTTATGTAGGTGAGAAAAATATTTTTTGGACCTCAAATACTTCCATACACATACAACTATTGTAAAAAAATATGCCCACACCAACTACAAAGAGTTATGTTTCTCTCTCTCTCTATATATATATAATATAACCTACAATTTATTTATTGTACATGTAGATGTACGTGCCAACAAGTGAATGTGCCAACACAGTTCTAATATAGCAATGTAAAATTATACTATTTGTACAAAAGGTATCATTTTAAAGTGAAAATGTCTGCAGTTATAGCTCCCAAAAGCATTGGGGATATTCTGTCTATCAGACATAATCAAAACAACAGATGCAGAGCTAGTCAGCATGTAACCAAAAAAAAGGGGATTAGGATCTGGGTGCTAGAACCCACAGCATCCCAGATTCCACTATCACTCACCATCTATAGCTGGTTGTGGGTATGATAGTTATCTCTGAAAAACCCATAAAAGTAGAAATAAGACATTAAACCACCTTTGATTTCTATTATAGATCATCCAACTATCTCCACAGTATATTTACTCCGATATTAAATTACGAAATATACAACCTAACTGTACATTTCAAGTAATAATATTGACACTTTATCACTGCAAGATATTAATAACTATGAACTATAAACCTACCTATACAGTTCTGGTACTCCTTCCTCCTCCCTTTCTAAGGACATGACTTTCAAGTAAAACTGGGTAAACTAAGCTAGAACTAGTTGCCTGAAGTTGGTCTTTCTGACCCATATATATATGTATGTATTTATTTAAGGGTGGATGATGGGAGCTATACTAAACAAAAGGTAAAGCCTAGTATAAGAGTACCATAATGTCTTTATGTCCAAACATTTTAATGGGAGCCTAGAATGCTAGCTTCAAGGACAATTTTGCTGTCTCCCCTAATAATGGATAGTACTTGAATTATTTTTTTTTCATTTTATTACTATTAATTTTCTTACTTACTTAAAAGTAACAAGACAGCAACTGCCTTTCCACTTTATGGTAAAATATAAAATTGAGGAGTTAGAGCAGCATTTCCCAAGCTATGTTCTGTAGAACACTGGTGTTCCATTTGAGATTGATAGGTGCTCCGTAAAAGAATCATGATTTTAAATTTTAATAAAATATCTAACACTTTTTTGTACGATCATAACTTATTATGAAATATTTTCATGTATTAGAATTAGATAATACTGATTTCACATTGAAGAAGAATTATAGAAGATACTATATCTATTCTACATAATATCTTGGTGGTTCGTACCTAAAATATATTATAAGTATAAAAATGTAAAAATTCATTAATATGTAATTTGATTAAATAAATGAATGAATGATATACAAATCTAGAGGGCGCTGCATGTGCAACATACCCTCTACACCGATATTGTCTAATGTTCTGTAAGCTTTTTCTCAGCTGAAAAGTGTTCCGTGGCCAAAAAAGTTTGGGAAATGCTGATTTAGAGTATAGTGCATGTTAATATTCATAACTTATCCTGGAAAGAAAATCTAATATATGTACACTAGATACACACTATACATTAAGTTTAAAAAATGCTATGTGAAGAGCTACATTTAGAAACTTAATCAGATATAATTATTCCAACTATCCAAGACTCATGTCAGAATAATTGATTAGTCAAATGTAATCGATTTATCCCCTAACAAATTCCACTAATCACCAAGCTCTGTTTTTATTTCACGACCAGAAAAGTATCATATTTTGCTGCGAGCTTAATATACTTTCTTTATGCATGTTGTGTGTCCTGAGAAAGTGTCTTTCAATGGCTTCTTTATCAAAGTTGCCAGTATAACAAAGTGACACGCAGCAGGCAACTTGTTTTTTTTCAATGTCCATGGCTAGATTGTATATGTCTCTAATTCTGTACACAGTGTTTTTAATAGTGCAATATTTTTCAGCTACTGACATTTGCACATTTATCTTTGTCATTTCTGTTGAATGACAAGTAAATTTTTAAGTTTGTTGTTACAGTTTTGTGTGATAATATTCAAATCAAATTTTATAACTGCTTGATGAAGCAGTATAGTAAGGAGCTTATCCATAAGTACTCCAAGTAATAGTGTCCCTGTATGATGAATTTATCTTTATTTTATCCCTATCTTTGAAATCAAATTAATGAAATATAATAAAAAGGAAATTTTATGGTTTTGTATATCTGAAATGTTTTGAACAACACCTATAATATTAGTAAAGGTTAGGCTTTTGAATACTGTCAGTATGGATAAGAAAAATTTGATAACAGTGTGTAAATTATTAAAGAACTAGCAGAGGCCCACAAAATACTTGTGGTCAAATCAGTATATTCATTGCAACACTACTTCTTTAAATACAGAATTTCTATAATAAAACAAAATAATTCTAATTGCAGACACCAACAACTATAAATCCTCTTGTCTTAGGACTAACATTAGTTAAGTCTTTATTAGGTATGGCTTCTATTCAGTAAAGTAATAAATAAACATTGTAACTTGTGCAAGTTTTTGCTTTATTTTAGTTAGGGCTAAACTTTATCATATTTAATTCTATCAATAAATAAACTTAAAATGTTATTCTATGACCAAACATTAGACCCTTTTAAAATATTTGATAAGCTTTTAATATGTTGTTGTACAAAATGTCTACTAAAGTACATTTACGTCTGTTGAAATGATGTGCATACACACATGCATTTATACAGTAAGGTGTATATACATTTTAATGGTAGTAGTAACATGTGGAAACTAAAGCTCTTAAAAGTATGTCAGATTTATGTACATTTGATAGTTCACACAATTTAAGTGTTTTAGAATGTGAAAGCTTATAATTATATAACACATGGGTAACCAAACTTTCTCAGCACAAGGCTCCTAAGAACATTTTGCACCTAGACTGAGGCCTGCCATTCCAATGAACCTAATGATACTGAGTGCTTTACCAGTATTGTGTATTTGCTACAGCCTCCAGTTTCAGAACCCTTGATTTAACATATGGGAAGCTATAGTAATTTTTTCTGTAAAATTCTTCAAAATGTTTTAGTAGTACTTTTGTTTTTGGTCTTTAAAAAGTTAATAAGCAGATATATTATCAAAATATTCATTAAAAAGTTTGTTGTGGTACATGCTTTATTTCCTTATACAATTGTTCTTTGTCTTATTGATATACTGTGGTAATATATTTTGTTGAATTACCTTTATCACTGGGAATTGAATAACACATAGTACTTGCAATTTGTGACAATATAAGCTCTTAATAATAATACTGTATTTCCTAGAGTTGTATAGAATGTGCTTTATTAACATAATGTATAAATAAAAAGAATCAATAATTTAATTAAAGAAATTAAATGTTGTTGTAAAATTCAAAAAGCAAGTGTTGAACTTAAGTATGCTTGAAATATTAAACAATGAAAAAAGTTACTGATCTGATAAAATACTTAATATATACACCTGGAAAAAAGTTAAGCACCACCGTGTTTTTTTCAAGTGATTCAGATTCGACGTTCTTGTGA